TGGGCGGCAACTCGTTGTGTCCGATTGGTGTTTGTACCGCGGCAGTGTTACTGAGTGATCAAGTGTTTGTGACAGAATTCACGGTTCTTCCGCGGAGCACTCATGACATCATTCTAGGCATAGATTTCTTGCGAATGTGCGGAGCCACTGTAGACTGTCGAAATGGCGAAGTTATCATAAGTGACGCTGTTCCTCATGGACTTATCGAGAATTCGGGTACGGAAAGCGGTGCGCTCCGAGTCTATGAAGATACCGTTATCCCGGCCTTCTGTGCTGTGCGCGTTCCAGTAGCTTCTTCGCATATTAACGACAATAAGACCAGTTTCGATGCGCTAGTGGAGCCTTTCCATCTAAGTTGTATAAAGAAGAACACGTTGGTACCCCACAGCATAGTTTCAGTGAGTGAAGGTCGTTCAGACCTTTGGACAACGAATTATTCAAACGAACCGGTGCTGCTACCAGGAGGACTTAAGCTAGCGTCGTTTAAAGAATACTCGCCAACACAGTAGCTGTCCTCAGTGACGTTCGACGGGATGAACAAGTGACCGCCTGCTCAGACAGTTCGAAAGTTTTACCTATGGTTGATAAGGCGCTGACTGCCGACAAGCGCAGAATGCTTGTGGACGTTTTGTTAAAGTACTTGCAAGTTTTTGATTTCTCCCAGAGTGACCATACGCCTTCCATTCCTCCATTTCGTATACGCCATAGGATAAATACAGAAACAGCACAGCCAATCCGACAAAAACCGTACCGAGTATCGCCGTCCGAGCGCAAGATAATAGACAATCAAGTGCGTGAAATGCTCCAAAAGGGCATCATTCAAGAATCATCGAGCCCTTGGGCAGCTCCTGTGATCCTTGTGAAAAAGAAAGACGGTACCTGGAGATTTTGTGTCGACTATCGCCGTTTGAACTCCATCACGAAGAAAGATGTTTATCCTCTTCCACGAATTGATGACGCCTTGGACTGTCTCCATTCGGCGTCATACTTCTCGTCTATCGATTTACGTTCAGGCTACTGGCAGATTCCCATGCATCCAGCGGACAAGGAAAAGACTGCTTTCATAACTCCAGACGGACTTTATGAATTTAACGTGATGCCGTTTGGATTATGTAATGCTCCTGCCACATTCGAAAGGTTCATGGATACCATTCTGCGTGGCCTAAAATGGAATGTCTGTATGTGCTACCTAGATGACATCGTGATCTTTGGGCGCACATTTCGTGAGCACAACGAACGCGTGGACATTGTTCTGGAATGCATTAGAAACGCTGGCCTTGTACTTAATTCGAAGAAGTGTCATTTCGGCGAGCGACAAACCTTAGTACTTGGGCACCTTGTGAACAAAGATGGGATCAGGCCTGACCCGAGCAAGACAGCAGCTGTGAAAGCGTGCAAACCACCTCGCTCAACGAAAGAGCTTCGCAGCTTCCTAGGCCTGTGCTCGTACTTTCGCCGATTTATTCCTGCATTCGCCGACGTTGCCTTCCCCTTGACCAATCTGCTACGTCAAGGTACTAGCTTTGAATGGACACATGACTGTGAGACGTCTTTCAACCAACTCAAGTTCTTACTCACATCGCAGCCCATTCTCCGGCACTTCGACCCTTCGGCGCCGACCGAAGTTCATACTGACGCCAGTGGCATTGGCATAGGTGCAGTTCTAGTACAACGACACAGTGGAAAGGAACATGTCATTGCGTATGCCAGCAGAACTTTAAGTAAACCAGAACGGAATTACACAGTGACTGAGCAAGAATGTTTGGCACTCGTCTTCGCTGTACAGCGATTCCGTTCATACCTGTACGGTCGCCCCTTTCAAGTGGTCACAGACCATCATTCCTTGTGCTGGCTTGTAAGCCTCCGAGACCCATCTGGCCGCCTGGCACGCTGGGCCCTCCGCTTGCAAGAGTATGACTTCACGGTGTCATACAAGAGTGGCAGGAAGCACGCTGACGCTGACTGCCTTTCGCGGATGCCGCTTACTACAACACTTTGCGATGCCGACAATTTCGATCACCTAATTGCGTCAGTGACTCCAGTATTCCCGGACAAGACCACCTTTGAAAATGAACAGCGGAAGGATGTCAGCTTGGAGCCATTATTTGCTGAAGCACGAGCGTCCACTTTGGCCGGACGCTTTTGCGTTCGTGAAGGATTACTTTACAAGAGGACCTTCTCGGCCACGGGTTCCCGCTTCTTGCTGGTGGTGCCACACACACTCCGTTCCTCCATCCTGCGCGCCATGCACGACGACGCAACTTCGGGTCACCTGGGAATGACGCGAACACTCCTTCGTACACAGGAGCGATTTTACTGGCCACGCATGCGCCAGTCAGTTGAGCAGTACGTGGCCAGTTGCACTCAATGCCAGACGCACAAATCAGTCACGACTGCTCCGGCTGGACTTCTACAGCCTGTGACGCCTCCCAGCACTCCCTTTGAGCAAGTTGGCATTGACCTCGTGGGCCCTTTTCCACGCTCGGCAAAAGGCAACCGTTGGATTGTAGTGTGCGCCGATTACCTGACCCGCTACTGCGAAACGGCCGCCCTGCCATCTGCGACTGCTGGCGAAGTATCCTCCTTTCTCCTGCACTCTATCATACTGCGCCACGGACCTCCTCGCGTCATAATAAGCGACCGCGGCCGTCAGTTTACGGCAGACGTTGTTGAGGAACTGCTCCGTATGTGTGGCTCGGAACTTCGTCATTCGACACCTTACCATCCACAGACGAATGGCCTTACTGAACGAACGAACCGGACACTGGTGAATATGCTTTCAATGTACGTGGCGTCCAATCACAAGAACTGGGACGACGTCTTACCGTTCATCACGTATGCCTTCAACACTGCCCAACACGAAACCACCGGCCACAGCCCTTTCTTCCTTCTTTACGTTCGACCCCCTCGTTATACCCTGGACACTATCTTTTCGTTTTATGACAATGACGATCCTTCATTAGCTGAAACACTATGCCTTGCAGAAGAAACTCGGCGTCTTGCCCGCCTGCGTACTATAGCATCGCAAGACCGCTCAAAGCTCCGCTACGACAGCAAACACCGCCACGTCACATATGAACCGGGAGACCTTGTAATGGTGTGGAAGCCTATCCGCAAGCGTGGCTTGTCCACAAAACTTCTCGCCCACTACACTGGCCCATTCGTTGTCCTTGAGCGCCTCAGTGCAGTAGATTATAAAATAGCACGACTGACAGCTAGTGGGAGACGATCAACCAAGACCGAGGTTACCCATGTGGCTCGCCTCAAAGCTTTTAGACTGCGGGACGATGCATGAAACGCGCGGTGCGCTTCGTCTGCGAAGGGGGAAATATTACGACGTGTATGTGCCGGATTGATAAGAGGGAATAGAAGTGTGGACTTGGGAAGAAGAAGATCTCTCGCCAGTTTTATCCGGTGCGGCCTCGCCATCCCAGCTTCCGTTCAATAAACCCCCGTACCCCTACTTCAGGCGTAACAATATGTACAAATGTTGCACGCACAGACATAAGTTGAAGAGTTGCAGATGTTTATATATGCAGTTTGCACTTGCGCTGTGATGCTAACAGGAACATGAGCACTGGCAACATTAGAAGCTATAAACAGATTCGAAGCCCTGGTGCTCTCGAGGATGGTATCCCTAGGCGCTGCTACATAAACCAACCTTATCGCGTGGCACCTAACTACAATTTACGCTAACACGACGTGCCGGCTGTATCGTAAGAGTACATATGTAATGTTTATAAACTCGATTAGCCTGCACGTCAAGCACAATCGATGTTTCACGAACATTAGGGATGATATGTGGGGTGTAACGTCCTAAAACCACCATATGATTATGAGAGACGCCGTAGTGGAGGGCTTCGGAAATTTGGACCACCTGGGTTTTTTTAACGTGCGCCCAAATCTGAGCGATGGGCCTACAGCATTTTCGCCTCCATCGAAAGTGCAGCCGCCGCAGCAGGGATTCGATCTCGCAACCTGTGGATCAGTAGCCGAGTACCTTATAAGCACTAGAACATCACGGCGGGGTGATCTGAAGAAAGTAGAGTGGACTAAAAGACACCTCGCCGCCAAGAGGGACTTAAGCTACAACCTCTTCATTATTTGCTGGTTTTCAGTACGTCTTTTCTAAGTACTTTTGTGTGGCACGTCCTTGTTTTTTATTTGTTATTCTATGCCACGTGGTGGCAGTAGCGGTTCGTTGCACTGTTTCATCTGGCGGTATTGATCGTTGTGCTCCGTTCGCATCTGCTGGTCTTCTCAATCATTGTTCCCTGGTTTGTATTTGTTGGGGCTGCTTTGACTTCGTGGATTGGGATGCGCAATCGGCTTGAGCAGACTCCAGACGCCGTTGGCGCTTCGCAATCACAGCCTTGTTGTGGCTTTGATGTACGGCCAATGACATGGTTAGTAGCTTCAGGTCACCGTGTCCCAGGTTTGCGAAGACCAAGCCAGTGCACGTGCGCCTTACAGTGTGTCATGCAACGTAAGCCATGTGGACCCAGCACGACGTATAATGCTCATGCATGCATTCATATTTGTAGCGCAACACGGAAAGGAACGGAGACACGCAGAAGTAACACGTAAATAGGACTAGCGCCCGTCCTGTTTATGTGTTACTTCTGTGTGTCTCCGTTTCTTCCCGTTTTGCCCGACAAATATGAATGCAAGTGAACGATACCAACTGGCCCACATGACGCCTTGACTGTTTATGCATGGCCACGCTGAAAAGATAGTGGCGTTGCAGTCACTGCTGTTGTGCGTTCCGAGTGTTCACGGCGAATGGTAGACCGAAAACAGCTTCGCTGTTAAAACCGTCCGTACTCCGGCGAAACGTTGTCATTAAGAAAGCTTTTTTTGCGGATATCTGCAAAACTTGTCATAGCCCCTTGCTCTTTCCGGATAGTCAAAGTTCAGGACATGGCTATAGATGCCCTTTAATTTACGGGGCTGTAGCGTACACCAGTACTGTGAGAATAATCTGAGGGTATTGTTTGAAGGTGACACCGGTGAAGCGGAGCCCGGAACGCAGTACAAGCTGAGCCTTATGTACGAGCACACACTGAGTGCGCCTTCTTACTGCTGTGTCGCTGGGAACTTCGGGGGCGTCAAAGGTGAGAGTTGTCGAAGAATTGATCGGCCGTAATTGTTGGCTGGCGCCGACAGCTTCATTCAGTGGCACAATGGTTCTTTCTTTTTTTTCTCTCTCTCTCTTCAGGACAAGACTTTCTCTGTGTTCAAGGTGTGGACGGCTCACTGACGTTTTTCGAGCAAGAGAACTTTGCATTCACGCGATACCTGCCGGAGTTTTTGCTGCCCTGTCCTCTTGCGTACGTTGCGAAAACGGATTCGCTCGTTACCGTCAACACGGCTTTCCACTTGGAAAATTTTAGGTGCGTATCACCGCGCTTCAACACGCTGCAGAAATTTCTCGCACCCTTGGTTCGTGTATGTGGAGGCAGCCATAAGGGACAAACGTGAACAAAATATTCTGTTGCTCGCGAACAGGCTTTCGACAAGATGCCTGGCACTCGAGCAGATGATTCTGTTGACGTCGTTTTCTTGTTTATTTTGTCGAATACTTTACAGCATATGCGTAGAGAAACAGCGTACGACGTTTCTGAAAACGTCGATATTGATCGCTTCTTAGTTTTCATACGTCAGACACGTCGTGCCCTGTAGCATTCGTTAAACATGGCTAGAAGAAATAAGGGTACATAGGACGCACGCTTCATCAATTAGGAATTTTGTATGCTTTCACACATCACAATGCTACATTACGCGAACTTCATTGCCGCCGTTTACTAGCGCATAAAGCCAAAGTGTACGTGGCATAAGCTTCATTAAGCCATAACTTAGGTTTCAGACTCTGGCTGTGGCTACTGAGGCGTCGAAGAAACCTTCAGACAACGTCGAAGGGCTTCAGAAAGGGAAACGCGTTGTTGTAAGTCTACGAGATGTTACTCCCTTATTTGTACCACAAAAACAACTTCGCATGATTAGTACAACATGGCTTATTCATTTTTTTCTACAGGCTGACTGGTCTGTTTCAATCGGTGAAGAGGCCATCGATATAAAAGTGGCAAATTTTTCGAACTGTCCATCACTAATATTAGTTCTAGGTGAGTGTTGCGGAGAGTAACCACAAGAGCCGCCGTAATTTCTACCTTCATATCTTTTTTCAGGTGAACACACATTATTTGCCTTTAAACCAAGCGGCGAGCTTCACTTTTTGAAAGTGCTGGACTTCACGGCGGCATGTTTCTTTCCCTATCCAAGTTGTAAGTGATTCTTTGGTAGCTGGGTAGCCTGACAGTGAATCCTATGCATAGAGCACGTAATTTTCACATCCGACAATTTTGTGTAATCATATCGAATCTTGGGCAAGTGATCAAGGGCTCGTTTATCCGTTAAACACAACCTAAAAAAACGAAGAGACGTGAAAGCATAGGGACATTCTGTGTAATTTTTATGGGTAATTGTAACAATTACTATATGAATGGAAATGCACTTAAATGAATGAACAAACGACTTAAGCGTGCTACTTGTAATATGTAAATAAAAATATTTGGCCTTACGTGGCTAAATCACGATGTGATTTAAGTCACACCGTAGAGGAGTTCTATGAATTACTTAAGGTGATGACCACCTATGGTGCTGTATTGTGCACTGACATATAAGTACGTAGGTGTTCTTGCATGGTAGCCATCAATATGTAGCTACCATGACCGGTAATAGAACACGTGTCCTCAAGCATAGCAGCGCGATACTTTACCTGCGAAGCTATCATGGCGGCTCGCATGGAATCTTGAAAGAAATGTCCTATAAAATTGCACGTTTTTTTGTTTGTGTGTGAAGTGGAGAGGGACGATGCATTAAAATAATGGACCTTGTTCGTAGACTAATGTAAACAGGTCTACTTACCTTGTAAACTTAGTGTCACATCACATCAAGAAATGAGAAGAGAATATAAAGAAATTGACGCCGAACTTGAGGCAAACATTTTTTTAACACGAAAGTGTTTTATGCCATGGTGCACCAAGACATCAGACGGAAATGACGTCGAAAAATTAACATGATCAGATGGCAGCAAAAAAAAAAAAACGTTCTGTGAATGGGAGCCTAACCCGCGACAGCTCGCTCAACAATTGTTAATTGCCGTCGCATGCTATCCATTGTGCCAGGGTCACACACTATGAAGGCTCTACAAACGCACCTTTTATATCTAACATTTTCATCTCGCAGTACTCTTAGTCGGAAGGGCGGTGTTCGCCCGTGGGAGCGATAAAGTGAAGTAATACATCATGACCATGTCCTCCGGGACCAGCTTCTCCAACGCGTCGTTGCTAAATACACGTCCGTCCAATTCGGTGCGCTTCCAGTAATAGATGTGCATTTTTTGTCGACGCCTTAACACACCACAAGATGGCAACCTTTACCCAATCGTCGCTTGCAATAAAATTGGAGACGGGGGGCATGGTCATTATTTTTTGTTTTTACTACCCCGAAAACTCTCCCATAGCATAAATACTGTTAATGTGTGCTCAAAGTGGTCCCATTTGTCCTGATTAAGGATAACGGGTGGACAACAAGCACTGAAGAAGAGAGGAGGGCGTGCTGACAGATTGGGGGGGGGGGGGGGGGATTGTCTCTACCGCCCCATCCCCCTCTGGATCCGCCACTGCGGAGGGATCGAACATGTTTTTTTTTTCCTGTCGTGTTAATGTTGTTTGGGAAATCTCTACTCAGCCTTCTGTTCTTTTTCTCTGATGAGAACTAAAGCTTGCCGTTGAAGAAATCCTATGACGTTTACCTGCAGTTTTATGTGAGGTGCCCTTTCCTGGTCGCGTGTTTAGTGCGGGTGATTTGGTCCATCCAGATTATTGTGTATGAAAAATGTCGAACGAGTCTTGTCGTAGCATCCGTCACATTGACCGATAGCTCTTTAGCGCTTTGTGTATTGTTTTCTGTCTCGTTTGTGCATAATTTTAGTAGTTGATGATTAATCGATCGCAGTTCACTTATCGGGGCACGGGAGTCCGTTTCAGCTTGGCCCGCCATGTCTGTTGACCCCGCGTCAATGTGACACCTAAGGCTTTTCCAATGAGGAGGTCCGTGCCACCTATTGTATAATGTCTCAATAATAAATGTACGACAAGGATGGCAAAATGACTCCTAAATATCAAATATCAACACGCATCGCAGTTCTGCAGGAACCCTTTGCAGAACGCTGGGTGGTAGAAATTTCCAGAGCCCTCCACTACGGTATGTCTCGTAATCATATGGCGGTTTAGGGAGGTTAAACCTTGCGTATCAATGAGGAACTCATTGCACTCGATTTTACGGCCACTATCCGCATATCCCGGTCGACCGCACTTATCGATAACGTGGCCGAAGCACTGTTCAGATTATGGCTCACTCAAGACCAAAGCAGTGCGTTTCTTCTGCCGGCGAATGTAGACAGGGTTATCCATATATATTTCTCTTGACTTGCTACCTCAAATGTAGTGCATGGTGAGTGTTTCATGGCGCTGCTTACTAATGCTTGCTAGAGTTACTCTCTCTCTCTCTCTCTCTCTCTCTATATATATATATATATATATATATATATATTGTAACGGAGAGAAAAGAGACAACACCCGATCCTGGGCCAGCTGTTCTTATTCTGACTTCGTTCTCTTCTTTGTCTAGCCGGGTATGCGCCCGTGCCGGAGCACTGCACTTGTCATCATTACACTTGGCCACGCTGTGAGCATGCAATCCTGCTAAGCTTGCCCTTCACTGGCACAGGTCTTTTTCTTGGAAGGTCGAAACATTCATAGGGCCTAGGACCCACTATAGGTAGAACTAATGCCTCTGGTGGGCGGCATTGGCTGCCTCGCATAGGCCGGTCATGGCCACGGTGCGTCTTGCGCTGAAAGTAAGGCGGTGATGTCTCTGGTGGACGCCATTGACTTTGTCGTGCCAGTTTTTGTGTCTTGCTTTGAAAGTCGGGCGACGATGGCTCTAGTGGACGCCATTGAGTGTTTCGCAATGGTCGTCTTCGGCCCGCAGGCCCGGAGCCCTGAGTTGCCAATACCGTCTCTGACGGGCGGTATTGGCTGTGTCTGTGGGGTCTCTCTCGTGGACGCCATGACTTGCCTTGCGGGACTGTCGAACACTCTGGTGGGCGACCTTGTCTGTATCGAGGCAGCCGCAGAAGCAGGCAATTCAGTTGGCACAGTTTGGGGCACTGGTCTTCATTCCCGTCGGCGTTCTGGACAGGCTGTGATTCCGGGCCATCATGCTTTGATGCAGAAGCCTCTGCGCTGCCATCTTTGGCTCCTCTTGTTCTGCGGCCACAAGGAATAAATATGCTCCTTGGTTGTTCTCTACCGCGGCGTCCATACATGCTGCAGACACCATGGGCGTACGAATGCCTCACCTCGCTGCTCTGTGCGAGCTGGCCACCGGCTGGCCGATCTGTCTCCTATTCCTCCTCAACGCACACTGCCTCCTGATGATCCACATGGCATTCGATGGTATCAAAGTCATACTGCATTGCCCGTGATCCCAAGTAGGGCTGTACGCCGGGAGGCCGGAAGTGCTGATGTTGACTTCGCCTGCTTGCAGCGCATCACTACCGTCGCGCAAGGCGTGGTGGGCAGATGTGGATTAAACAGGCATATAGTCCATTAATCTGTCTTCGGCAGACATGGATTGATTGAGTAAAGCACTCTCACACTCGGTCAATGACTGCCGCGTAGCAGGCAAATCTCCCACCGCCTGATCGCTGAGTCTGCTCTCCTCGCTGGTATCACTGGGAACTGTTGGTATCGTAGACAGGTAAGGTGTGTCATGTCGTGACCCATCCAGCAGGACAGGGGTGGACGACTCCACTTGCCCAGGAGGTGTCAGGTTCGAAGGCACCAATGCCAATTGCTCAGGCTCGAGGGTACTCTTGTTGCCTGTTGTCAGACTGGAGGACTGCGATGAGACATCGAGCTGCCGCCCCACTTGAGCTCGATATATGGTAGTGGGTGCGTTGACGAACGGTCCAGCTACCCTGTGCCTCTCTGTATTTCTCCCCACGAAAGAGGACGGGGTGGCCGATGGCTGACACGAATTTGGGTCCGGTACCAGTGACGAGTCTGGAAGCTGATGTGGAGAACTGGAGTGCTCAGCTGGAGCCTCGAGATGGAACCCTTCTTGAACTCCATCCTCGGTACCGGTCAGGTTGGACGGGGTGGTCGTGGAGAGGTGGTAAGTATTAGGACCAAAAGCAGCTATGACCTTGCAGCTCCACTCTACCCATGACTGCTGCTTCCAGCCTTCATGCCGGTGCCACGCCATTGAACCTTCCCGAAGACGGTCTATGGCCACATACTATTTCTGATTTTCTGTCCAGGCCGCGCGCATTGCTAGCGCGTTGACGGTTGCCACCCAGCTGTCGGCGACGTTCCGTACCTCGTGGAACTCCGGTAGTTCGCAGCCGGCTGGTGATTGCGGGTTGGCAGGTGGCAACGCAGAGATCACCGGCGCGAAGCAGTCGAGCTGGTGTGAGAGCTCGATGAGAGAAGACCGAAGCTCGCTGCGTTGCTCCGGTTTCTTGCCTCAAGGTCGTGTGAGGCAGCTACATCCAACACTGCGCTAATGTCACACAATGCTGGCAACATTGTAGGAGCTCGCTCGGCGATCAACGCTGTCAGTTAGTTAGTCTCGACGTGGAGTAGCGCGATGGTACGCCGCAGGTCCGCGGTGCTCTCGGGCGTTAAGCCCGAAGAGTCAGTGATGGTGGTCTTTGAGTAAGTAGCAATTGCAGCACTCACCCCGGTGAGGTCGACGAGCAGGGAAGCCTGGACGGCGTTCCGTGGCGGCTCGTTTGTTGAAAGAGTACAGCAACGGGAATGTAGGCCATGGGAAACGTGAGCGGCATTCCCAAGGGACAGGAGCCGGTGCGGATCCCTGCCGTGAAGCGGGGGCAGGGTTTCAATGAGGTCATGGCCTAGAACCACAGGGGAGGCCTGGACGCCGTCCACAGGTCGTCTGAAGGGTGGCTGAAGCGGCGGGTGGGACCCCATCGCTAAGGAAGCGTGAACGGCGTTCCTTGATGGAGAAGCCCGCGCTGCCAACGAACCACGAAGACACGTACCGGTGGCTTTCTGGAGAGGGTTCACTTGTCGGACTGCGCCATTGTAACGGAGAGAAAAGAGACAACACCTGATCCTGGGCCAGCTGTTCTTGTTCTGACTTCGTCCTCTTCTTTCTCTAGCCGGGTATGCACCCGTGTTTGAGCACACTGCACTTGTCATCATTACAATATATATATATATATATATATATATATATATATATATAGCACGCAATTAGCACGCTGTTGAAAATAGGACAGTTATCTATGGATGTCGTTGGAATGTTCGTACACATGCCTCATTGACATTTTAATGAGTAGGTAAGTATTTGTCATGCTAGAAATATATACAAATAGTTAACTAAGTCTCATTAACGAACAAAATTAGCAGTGGCTACTGGAATATACTGGGAACAATATGCACTATAGGTCCACTCCACGTAAAGACGTTCGTCTTTTTTTTTTTTAAACCGCGCTGCGTGATAGTTGGGACAGCGTCTATATAATACGGCATGAGTTCCACGCATGGCTCGACAAAACCGCGTAGTCCTAGCGTATGTCATCAGGCTCATCACTACACCATGCCTATGCTCTTATCGTAACGCTTTTCTTGTCAGCTTGACTTTCCGTGACGCGGGCAGAGTATCGTTTTTCTAGCCACAGACTGAAAGACCAGAGAATTGATGACACCGTCATTCGCGTTACAGCATCTATTGTCTCTATGGGACTTCGTTCAATGAGTGAGGCCGTTTAAAGCGATGACGGCGTGCATGTAAAAGAAGCATGTTGAAAAGCTGCACATAACGCGATGTCGTCGCACTGAATTTCGTGCCACGTTCCTCGTTAAGTCTTTGTGTCCCGTTTGTTAGAATTCAAGCTTCTTAGTTGGTTTTTTTTTTTTCGCTACATAAGGTGTAATTGATGTTTCTTTTTCTTCTATACCATTTTATGCTTCCAAGATAAACTCTTACATGACAGGTGCTATCACGTTATAGGAGGTTTTAAACATACTGCGTGCCACGCGCACATCTGCCGAGGCTGCAAAACAAGCGCATAGGAACTCGAGCAACCTATCTACACGGGTGTTGTAGGAGTTTTGACATATCTGATGACCACTGAAGTATGTTGAGCGTGAACGCTGAAGGCAAGACATCGTTTCTTGTAGCTACCGTTTTTTCCTTCTTGCGCTTCTACGCAGCGACGGAAGGCAGCTTGATGCTGCTCATGGCCACGCAGAGGAGCACGCTGCTCGTCTACCACGACACCGTTCTCAAGTGGGCTGCCCAGCTCTCGTCGGCTCCGATTGCTCTGGCGAGGACGACGATACAGTAAGTCTCGTTGTATCTTTCTGTACTGTGCACGCCACTTGAGCTGGTTACTCGTGCCCGCGGGCGAGCTACGCTTACCGGGCACGACAGCCTCTCTCATTTTCATTCCAGGCTCTAGCCGGATCTCAAGTTCGGCGACGCACGCCTTTGTCGATGTAGTTGAGGTTCACCTTTCGAAGATTTGTGTCATAGCCCGCCACCGTCACGAGTTGTGCCTCTGCAGCTACCTCTTAAACTGTACGTCTCTACAATGAAAGAAAGAAAGAAAGAAAAAAAAGAAAGAAAGAAGAAAAAGAAAGAAAGAAAGAAAGAAAGAAAGAAAGAAAGCACTGGGGTTGGAGAAGAACACTTGTACGCTTTTGAGAAAATGATTCATATGTAGGGCTTAACGTCCCAAAACCACCATATAATTATGAGAGACGTCGTAGTGGAGGGCTCCGGAAATTTCGACCACATGGGGTCCTTTAACGTGCACCCAGATCTGAGCACACGGGCTTACAACATTTCTGCTTCCATCGGAAATGCAGCCGCCGATGCCGGGATTCGATCCCGCGACCTGCGGGTCAGTAGCCGAGTACCTTAGCCACTAGACCACCACGGCGGGGCGTTATTGAGAAAACGAAAAGAAGAAAACATGAGCGATATTTAAAGCGGGAAGTGTACAGAGATCTGCCCGGTCGGGAAGCCTTTTCTCTCATTCTCTTCTCTTCTCATCTTTCTAGTTTGTTCTTGCGAAGGTTTTGTTTCAGTTTTCAGGCCCAAGTAGTTGCGGGACCACACATGCTGAGTTTGATTGTGACGAGTCCGCGAGTCTGCTTACGCTTACGTGCATGTGACGCGAGCAATGTGAACAAATCATCATTCGGTGCCCGCTTGAGTGTACAGTTAAGCGTGACGAACTCTTCAACGCATGCTTTTCCTTGTACACATTTAAAGCTATGAGAACTACGACCAACCTGGCGTGTATTCAAGGAGTGGCACACATATAACCGTATAGTCAGAAAAAAAAAAGAACAAGAACAAGCATTTTCTACCTACACTGGCTGCCAGCTAGGTGGTTGATGGTCCAAACTTCATCGCTTTTCACGAAAAATACGGCCGCGACAAGCCTTCACTCAAAATTCGTCATTTCTCTGTCACGGGAAATTCCGGTGTGACGTAACACAGTGGTCACATTTCCTGCGCGCATGGTGCGATCAGTTTAGATGTCGTCGTTAATTTACGACTATTACATCACAAATCATGTGCAACTGTTGTGACACTGCGAGTTTCCCATATTGGCAGACAGGCAGAAAGCATGGCAAAAATTGAGTAATTAAAAAGGTAATTAACGCGTTCTTCATGATTGGTAGCAACAGTGTCATCTTGGTTGGGGCAAAGGAATTCCACCGGGGCGTCGAGTGCATGTGCGCAGACGACAGAAGCTTTGCTGTCACATAATTTTTAATATATATATATATATATATATATATATATATATATATATATATATATATATATATATATATATATATATATAAGATGCACCCAGTATACTATTTTATGGAACAAGATAGGATGTTTGTTCAAAACGCATATACACGTTAGGGGTTTTTTTTTCCTTCTGTGGGTTTTGCCCTCTTGTTAATATTTAGGATGACCACTTATGCATAGCGCACATCTGCAGTTGTTTCACTTCCCAGATGAGCGCACCCAAACAAAGAAGGCTGAGCAGTTCCATCAGGCTTGGCACCCCTAGGTTAAATAGCCTTAAATTTTTTTTCCTGTTATTCGGTTTGCATCTGGCCAATATGAGACGACGTATACTTTCAGTTAGCTACTGTGGGTAGTGCTGAATGTGTTTACATCATAAAAAAGAAGGTCGTGCTCGGTACGTTTGTGTGTAAGCGTGCCAGCATGGTGGCGCCTTGTTAAACTCGCGCCTACAAAATCCGGTGAGCCATAAATGAAGTTTCTACGAAGCGGCACCGCCGAAGTGACGATTGAAAATGAAGCCACATGGGCGCACTCGCGAACCGACAGGTGCGGCGACCTCGTTCGCTTTTAACCGGGAAAACACGTGGTCTTGTTTTACGACGCCACGTGAAGAGTGCTTTCAACACGGCCTGGCTTTCACCACCTAGGCGTGCGCGTTGATTCAAAAGAGGCATGCATACGTTGTCGCTAAAGGAAGAAATGCGCCTGGCCACTGTGGTCTTGACTCGTTGCGTCGGCTACGGTGAAACCAACGAACGAAGCGTAAAGAGTGCCTGCCATTTTTTTTTCCCGAAAACAAGGTTGGAAGTCAAAGCGGCAGATTTTTAAAAATCATTGACAGTCACCTCGTGCCCCTTCTCATCCAGGGAACTAAAGAAGATAGCGGAAAAAGGGGCCCCCTACTCGAGACAAGACCCGAGCGCCATGTCGGGCCACCCCTCTCGTTATTTAATGAAAAAGCGGTAGGTGCCCAGTGGCCCTGGGCCATGACGGCGATGTGTGTATACAGCGTTGACCGGCCGGACTGTCATCACTCTGCTCTTAGTGGAAGACGTAAGCTGCGGGGACACTCGACCAGGATTGATTGATTGATTTGTGGGGTTTAACGTCCCAAAACCACTATTTGATTATGAGAGACGCCGTAGTGGAGGGCTACGGAAATTTTGACCACCTGGGGTTCTTTAACGTGCACCCAAATCTGAGTACACGGGCCTACAACATTTCCGCCTCCATCGCACTCGACCAGGCCAACTCATTGAATATAATTTAGTATGACATTATGAGAAACATAGCCATAACTACTTTGTATGTCCACAGAGCTACAGATAGCAGTTCCATATAAAAAAAAATGTTGAACACTTCCTATATTTAGGATAAATGAGCTAATTTATTAAATTGTCATTGGAGTGACAAAGATGTCGAAAGCCTACTATTGTAACCGGTGAAGGTTTGCAGAGTTACACGTATACAACTTCGGTCTCAAAGATTTATTGTTCGTTTCATTGCGTTCCGATGCAACTAACGGAAGTACGACATACTTCAGCCCAGAATACGAATGGCGATGTGGGTGAGTTGGTTAAAGTTCACGATGAAAACGAGCAGCACGAAACCCTGAAGGGCGGAAGTAAAGGCAGGCAAGGCTTGAGAAAGTGAAAGAGGGACGAGCGCGTTGCTCCATCTTTCGCTTCATATCAGTGCTCTTTTGCATGCGCTTCCGCCCTTCTGTACTTTGCGCTGTTTCTTCATCGTGAACGTGATGGCATGTGGCCATGTGCCAGATTTGCGAAGCGGTACCGGATGGCTTGTCGCGCGTTCTTTAGGAATGTTTCCAACTCACGAAGATTTATCTACTCTATGTCTTAACAACGGCATTTCACCTCTTCTCATCAAGGTGATGCAATATCATGTAGACGTGCAATCGTGCCCTTACAAAATATTTATAGGAACTCACTGAAGCTCATAATGCTGTATAAAACTGTATGACTGAATGGCTATGACAGTAATTAATCCTACATATTGATTAATTACAAAATATTACACAGATTAGGCACATTTTCGACCATCAGTCTAGCAAGGTCACGATGCGACGCAGCGATGTGAATGTGCAGACGATGGAGTATAGTCAAGAGGGAGGGGGCAACTACCTCACCGCCAAAATTTTAAAATTTTGCTTTCGTATACAAACGCGCGCATGAACATACATGATGATTGAACCCCCCCCCCCCTCCCCTCCGAAAAACATTTCTGGCTATGCCCCTGTATGGTGTACTGAAATGGGGCAGTATGTCGTTTTTACAGCAAACCAATGGGAGAGCGGTGGTCACTTTTGCGATGATGCCACCAGCAGGGCGCTATGATCGAACGGTGTGCTCAGCAAGCATAAATTAAATTTTTATTGCGCAACTTTCTGCCGTTTTTTGAGTAAAATAGCCACATCACACGATTTAAACTAAAAGTGTCTGCAAGATCAAAACACATCCAACACATTACTATGCATTATTGATATAGATCAAGTTGCTCCTGCGTCGTCTGAGCTTGCACTATTCCTATTGCAGTACAGTGACTCAGATCGTCGGCTTGCTGACTGTTTTATTTGCAGAAGGAATAAAAAAAAGCAATTAGCTGTTCATTCCATGCATATATACGCCCGCCTAGCTGTCACACTAACCTGAGTTTACTTGACGAAACGAACGAGGATGTCCGGAAGGACAACGTGAACATAATCAGGTGAGCTCTACGACCACCCCTCACCAGTATGAGCCAGGAGGGTAATGTAAATGTAAGAAAAAGGGGTGCTCAACGACAAATGCTGCTTGCCTTCTGCCTTTGTTCAGGTATTTTAATACTCAAAGAGGCGCCAAAGTGCAGAAGTGCAGATTAATGCACATTTTCAGGGTGCTGCATTTACGTTATAAGAAAAGGTCCTTAATTCCATTCGTCATGCAAGAACTAGAATGCATCAGACATCCTCAAACACTGAGTGTGCCATGCAGCCAAACAAATTCGTAAACGCTTCTATAGACAGCCCCGCCGTGGGGGTCTAGTGGCTAAGGTACTCGGCTGCTGACCCGCAGGTCTCGGGATTGAATCCCGGCTGTGGCGGCTGCATTTCCTATGGAGGCGGAAATTTTGTAGGCCCGTGTACTAAGATTTGGGTGCACGTTAAAGTACCCCAGGTGGTCGAAATTTCCGGAGCCCTTCACTACGGCGTCTCTCATAATCATATGGTGGTTATGGGACGTTCAACCCCGCATATCGATCGATCGATCGATCGAGCTTCTATAGACACAATGGGGAACAGTTAACAAGTTAGCCTGGTACACGCACGACCAGCGCGGCAACTAAAATTGCTGATCTCGGAGGCTTTGTATCTCATCTTCTCATAAAGTACTTCAGGGGGCGGCTACAGGTGGCGACACAGTAGTACAGCGTGCTCTGGCAGCATTGGGCGTCATCGCAAGAAGAGCCACGTTTTCGGAGCCAGACGGCACTTTGCCCCATTTCAAACGGCAAATTGCTGTGTGCAGCAGCTAAGATGAAGTGCACTTCATTTTTGAACACAAAGGAATAAAACTTTATTGATTATCAGTATGCAGGTGTGGACTTCTAACGAATGTTGCATTAAAACCAATCCAAGTCTACCAGCGCCCGCCTACCTCGCTTTGTTTTCGTCCTGCCGACCGAAGACAAAACAGAAAAAAAGGATAAGTAGCAGGCATGATCGTGACTTCGTCAGGCTATGTTGACAAAATTACCAGAAATTCCTGAGGCTCACTTACGAATTGCATGTTTGCTTAGATTTCGACTAGACTCAAGCTGGAACTCGGACACAAAATTCCACTGAGCCTAGCTCATTTGGAGTCACCAAAATTCTACTCAACCGAGAGTGGACTGGTTTGGGTGTCAGTGGAACGATTTGTGAGTTTGTGGAATGAGTTCGTAACAGCCCTTGCCGGTTACCTTATTGAATATGAATGATAAATTTGCTTTTACTCCATTTCCGTGCAATTACATGGACACTTCAGCCACATTTTTGTTGTTATCGGCGTCGCGTTCTGTATGAAGTACATGACGATAGCTCTGCTAAGCGCATCGTATGCGTTTTGGACTACCTGCAAGTTAAAGTGTGCGAGGGCTCATGACAGTTCGGGCTGAAGCAGAGAGAGCATATCGGCCATTTCTGTTTGCGAAAGACACATTGGTACCGGAAGTGGTTTACCTGGCCCGGCAGGAAATACATACTTATGAGCTGCCGGGCGTGGTTGCTCGCGGTCACGTGTGCAGTATGTTTAGAAGTAATGAACTGGTGGTTCATACCTTTGTATGTGTTGTGCTGCCATTGCACAGTGTATACGTTGAAGTCATAAACAACAAGGCGGTCGCTTTGGTCTATAGAGCCGTTCCATGTTTGTAAAAACAGGTAGGCCTTTGTCGACTTAATGAGTAAAGTTATAGCGACGTCCACACGTAACTTCCGCCATAAGCGCTGAGGGCTGCGATGTGCGCCAACAAAGCGACGTTGTGAGACGCCATAAGCGTCGTGAAAGCCATAAGCGCTGAGAGCTGCGATATGCGCCAACAAACAAAACTAAGTTGTGAGACGCGACTCACATCCAACCGTGACGCAGCTTGTCGGCATACCATTTTTTCCCCCCTCGTTGCTTGATTGAGAACACCAAATGCATCATTGAAAAGGCAGCAGAAACTGCGATAGGCAGAGCGTCTTTTGCCTACCAAGACAGCGCCACCGCATTTTCGTGACGTCAGTCCGGTGGAATTTGTCTACAGTTGCAGCGCCACTGTTTTCTTCGACTACTTCTAGTCGCCTGCTAACAGAGTGCGCGTTAGTACTTATAAAATTCCAATTAGTTGCTATCGCATTAATTGCTTTGCGCTTGCAGCAAAACTGTGACATTTTTATTGAAACAGAAATTAAAAAAAATGACTGATCGCACTCATTTTGAGAATCGGTGTTATGCAAGCCGCCAGCAAGGAGCAAATCATGCTGTACATAACAAAGATGCCATGATTTACATTTTAGGACCTCTCATTGATGTTCGCACTCAGTCATTTCACGCAAAATCAATTTTGGTGTAAATAGACTGAGTGAAACGGGCACGCAAATCACGTTGTAAATGACATGCAAGTCATGTTTTTTATGTTACCACCTGTCATATATGTTCTTCATACTGTCACGTTACGCAATACCAATTTTGTTGTGTATCAAACTAACGAAACTGCCATCAGTGCATCATGAGCATAACATGCAAATCGTGTTGTTCATGAAATGTCATGTTTTTCTAATTTCCACTAGTCATTTATGTTTATCATGCAGAAATGTCTGATGTTGCCATTTTTTTTTTGTGAAATCAAGAGAAGGGAACGGCCGCAGATGCGCCACGGCTATGGCGTGTAAATCATAGCGTTCAAGACAAGTTAGTCGCAATTTTCATGATATGACCAGTCAGTCATGTCCGTCATTCAATCATCTTACGCCATAGCAATTTAGGTATAAAGCCCATTAACGATACAAATACTTGTAGATAGATAGATAGATAGATAGATAGATAGTTAGATAGATAGATAGATAGATATATAGATAGATAGATAGATAGATAGATAGATAGATAGATAGATAGATAGATAGATAGATAGATAGATAGATAGATAGATAGATAGATAGATAGATACGCTAGACGCCACCAAAGTTCGCCCTGATGTACTTTGTACTTTGAGAGGTTCTTCCCGTTGTTCTTTGTTGGTTCAGTGACTGAGCACTAAAGTGAACTTAACGCGATGACGATTCTTGTCTCTCTCCCAGGAACTTGCAAGGGGCAATAGTGAGGCTCACCGAGCAAGGGCAGCTCTGCTGCAGCTACCTCGGGACAGACCCGTGCTTGAGTGTGGCCGTGGCGCCGGAGAGCCGCGAGTATTCGCTCAGGGAAGTGGAACAGGAACTCAACAGGCTGGAAAATGCCATCAAGTCCAGCAGTCAGTGTGAGCACCGCTTCTCTTCATGTTTCGAAGAAATTCCATTATTGTGCTCATGCGGTGTCACGAGGGATGGGCGCGAGTTATGACGATTGCCCACTCCTGTGCGGGTTTACAGAAAACTGCTGCGATGCTGTGCTGGTGGCTGCCAGCACCTCATATTAGATGATGTACTTCAGGACAACGTATGGTCACGGGGTCGTGACCTTGACGAAGGTAGCAGGATGGATGTAGATGAAAACTCAAGGTGGAAAAATGTTGATTGGGCCGAATTCGTGGCTCGTAAATTGAAAGTCAGATTATTGCAATACAGCGCCACTGGTAGCGGTGAACAGAGCGTTGGCCGTCGATCAACTGACGAGCGGTGAAGCGCGTCGGCATTTATTCACGTGCCCTCGAATATTCTAGCGTTATCGCTAGCACTCACGTATGTTCCAGAACAACCTGCTCGCGATGTGGGCGTAATCTTAACAAAGCGGTCTACTACAGCCATGAAGCTTATCGAACACTGAAGACGCGGTTTGCGCTGAGCATTACTGACAGTGCAACGGGTTGGTAACACAACTTTGGCAGCAGCAGCGGATCTGCGCACAGCCTACTGAACCATTGCATATTGTTTTTACAGCGCATGTCGTCGGTGCACTGCCCCGTGTCAAGGGAAATACGGTGGTCATCGTGGGAGTGACTGCTGACCTTTCAAATAGCCTCGACGCATCGCCCCGTATCATATCAGGGCACGGCTGTGATCATCGTGGTCGTGTTTTTGTTGTGCCCCGCTGTGAGCGCCACCTGGATAGCTGTTCAGCTCGGAGCATCTCCGGGTGTACTGAACCACACTTTGGCAGCAGCAGCGGATCTGCGCACAGCCTACTGAACCATTGCATATTGTTTTTACAGGTACTAAAGTTCTTCACTGCTGTTGCTGTGGGTTCTTGACGGAACGTCCCAGCTGCTTTGGAGGTTGACATCGCTTTTCATCGCTGCGTGTGCTTTTTTCAACGCGCAGCGCATGTCGTCGGTGCACTGCCCCGTGTCAAGGGAAATACGGTGGTCATCGTGGGAGTGACTGCTGACCTTTCAAATAGCCTCGACGCATCGCCCCGTATCATATCAGGGCACGGCTGTGATCATCGTGGTCGTGTTTTTGTTGTGCCCCGCTGTGAGCGCCACCTGGATAGCTGTTCAGCTCGGAGCATCTCCGGGTGTACTGAACCACACTTTGGCAGCAGCAGCGGATCTGCGCACAGCCTACTGAACCATTGCATATTGTTTTTACAGGTCAGTACTATCGTTGTTTCTTTCCTTAGTGTTCTGTTGCTTTCTGCTGCTGCTGCTGCTGCTGCCATAGTGGTTTTAGTGTTTTTTGATGTCGCCAGCCGAAATGGAAAAACATTTTAAAGAGTTGAAACAAGAGTTTCGCGAAATGCGGACTGCCCTGGAGAGAGAGCTGCGTAAGGAAATACGTGATGTGAAAACAAGTCTAGACTTTTTTAATAAGCAGTTTGAAGAAATTTCGGCTCTGTGCTCGCGGCTTGAAAAAGAAAACGGTGAGCTAAAGGCTCAAAATGATGTTCTGAAGACTGATTGCAGTCAGCTGAAGCAGGTCGTTCTCAACAATGAACGTAGGACTACCGCCCTAGAACAGTACTCGCGAAACCGAAATATTGAAGTGAAAAATGTTCCTTTCGTGGAGGGTGAACGGTTGACCAGGGTCGTTCAGAAGATTGGTGAAGCTGTCGGCGAATCAGTGAAAGAAGATGACATAGAAATTTGCCATCGCGTGACTGCTAAGGATGCATCTTGCCCTCATATTGTTGTGCAGTTCAACAACCGGTCTAAGCGAGACGCAGTTCTGGAAAAGGCGAAAAAGTTGCGCTTAACGACAGCTGATATTGGTTTCCCAGGAAAGACATTTGTCTACGTCAATGAACACCTATGCTCACAGTTAAAAAAACTACTGGGACAAACTGTAGCGCGCAAGAAGGAAGCCGAATGGCGATTTGCCTGGACGAAAGGCGGCAAAATTTTTGCGCGAAAGGATGAGAAGTCGAGGGTGCTTCAGATAACTACTGAGAGCGATCTCGAAAAGATTGTTTAAATTTGTTGAGCTTCATCCTTTAGCAAAAAAAGCTAGAAGAAAAACAGGGCAAAAAGAAAATGGCTGCAGACTGCTTAACGCCACACCAGTTGAGCCTATTGGTATCTGGTAGAAAACACCACATTTCCTACCTTCATATAAATGCGCAATCAGCCAGAAACAAGGCAGATGAGATAGCAATACTGCTTGAATCGTTTGAGTTCTCCTTTGACGTCATCATGGTTACTGAAACCTGGTATCGCCATGAATCCGACGTTCTTCGTATACCTAGCTATGCCACGTATTTCTTGAACCGCAGTGATAAATTAGGTGGTGGTGTTATGCTCCTGGTCAAAGATGTGTTTGAGTGTGAAATACTCGAGGCTTTTTCTGTGGTTACTGACGATTACGAGATTATGACTGTAAAATGTTCTTCGGGTATTTTTTCTGTGGTATACCGCCCCCCCAAATGTAACATGTGCAACTTTTTTACGTTTTTAGACACTTTCCTGTCGTGGGTCAATGAAAATGGTTACAATCTTACTATCGGGGGTGACCTAAACATTGATATGCTAACTTCCAGCCCCCAACGTCTTGAACTTTGCAATATCATGGAATCAAACGCATTTAAAAATGTTATAAAACACCCCACTCGATTTCATGCCCAATCCTGCACACTTATCGACGTCATTATAACAAATAGCACAAGTGCACCTCTTTGCTCGGGTGTCCTTAAGACACATATTAGCGACCATTTGCCTGTTTACTCAATTTTAAGTCAAAAGAAGCTTCAACTTAGGGATGCAAAGCCACCGCCTACCCCATTCCGGTACATATGTCCTAGCACAATTGATATGTTCGCTGCATATATATCCAAGATAAAATGGGACGCTGTTTTCCGTGAAACTGATGCAGACACAGCGTATAATGTTTTCATCGAACGTTTTAGTGAAGCCTACAACAAGTGCTTTCCGCTCAAAGCAAAACGCAGACCACGCAAGGCAAGAAAGCCTTGGATTACTTCGGAATGCCTTCAAGCTATAAAAGTAAAAAATGCACTTTACCAGAAATTTCTAATATCTAGAGACAAAGAAGACTTGAAGACATTTAGAAAACATAGAAATACTACAAACTCCTTATTAAGGAAAAGCAAACTTGAATATTTTAGCAACCTTTTCAGCCCTGAAAAAACCAAAACGTCCGAAGCCATCTGGAAAAAGTTAAACATGTTGCTCCACCCACACTCGGATGATAGCACATACCCGACTAAACTCATTGTAGACAACCGCGTTCTAACTGGTGATGACCTTGCTGAAGCTTTCAATAAATTCTTTACCTCTATTGGAGAGAGCTCACACGACAATAATTTTGCGCGATTCATGGGTTCGCAAGTAGGCGAAAGTGCATTTCTATTTCCAGTGACTACACAGGAGGTTACGGCAGATTTCATGTCACTAAAGAATAGCAGGTGTTGTGACGTAGACGGCCTGGAAATCCGTCCAGTTAAGCATGTTATTCATGTCATATCTCCTATTTTAGAATACATCATTAACTTAATCTTCTCATTGGGCACGTTTCCTAGTCGTCTTCAGATAGCCAAAGTTTCTATTATTTTCAAAGGTGGTGACAAAAATAGCATGACCAATTACAGACCAATTTCTATTTTACCTGTATTTTCTAAAGTAATTGAAAAGTTGTTACATAAACGAATAGTGTCATTCTTAACCAAGCACCACATTATGACGCCTTTTCAATTTGGTTTCACAAAGCAGCGCTCAACAGAAACTGCCCTACTAATGCAAAAAGAAATCATACTCGATGCATTTGAAAAGGAAATATATACACTTGGAATTTTTGTAGATTTCTCAAAAGCATTTGACAGAATCAACCACATTACATTAATTAAAAAACTAGAACACTACGGTTTTCGGGGGAACTTTATAAGTGTCATAAAAACCTATTTGAAATACCGACAGCAAAAAGTAGATATAAATGGCTACGCATCTAGTTTTAAAAAACTGTCACATGGCGTGCCCCAAGGAAGTATTCTGGGTCCCCTGCTTTTTAATCTATATGTGAACGACTTGACAAACATCGATAACAATACAACATTTATTATTTATGCAGATGATACCAGCTTATTTTTTAAAGACTGCGATTTGCATAAACTAGTTGACAAAGCAAATAGTGTCTTGAAACTGCTGCACATTTGGAGCATAAGAAATTCGCTAATTATAAACACCTCAAAAACAAAATCTGTGCTCTTTCGTCCAATAAATAAGCCCGTAAACTGCGATTTATCATTAGTGATTGGCTCAGAATCTATAAGGATTGAACCGATAGTGAAAACTCTGGGAGTTTTTTTCCACGAAAACATGCTATGGAAGGATCAGGCTGAGTTTGTCCATGCTAAACTTTCTCGTACTGTAGGTATCTTATCGCGCTTACGTTTTCTCTTGCCACAAAAAATTAAACTCTTACTATATAATTCGCTATTTTTATCTACATTAAGCTATTGCTATCTAGTATGGGGCACCACATCGGAAAAGAACTTAGGCCGAATATATAGATTACAGAAAAGGCTGTGCGCATAATTACAGGTGTTCCTCGCGATGAACATTCCAAACCCATTTTCGAAGCCCTTAATTTACAAACAATGCCTGAGATATACAATACAATTTTAATGAAGCGATATCGTACTTCCTTAAAGAATCACGACTCTTTTCTTACTGATTTAGCGCGTTTGACACCCTATACCTGCCCCTATAGCACACGAGCTACCGATGACTGGAAAATTCCTTACACACGTACTAACTATGGTCGCCAGATGATGAGCTACTTACTGCCACTAACCTTAAACAGTTTCTTACAATAAACCATTTATACTGCTCCGTTCTGTAAATGTTTTTCAACGTGTTAATAAAATGCA